CCGATCGTGGATTAGACTTTTGATCTTCTTATCGCGGCAAAATCTTCGCACACTTTCTTCTCCAGGGCCGCTTTTCATGGCCACCCCGAGGCTCTGGGGGTTATGCCGGTCCAGCCATAAGAGTCCGGCTACGGTTGTGATTGGCCAAAAATCCACTTGATCAGAATTCCTTCCTGTAATTCGGAGAATACCGCTAATTTTTGAACCTAGGACCTTTTTAGGTTCAATGTATGTAGCTGTAGCCTTGGTAATTTATCCAGGCCTCACCATTTCATGACGTAGCCAATTCTGACTTCGAAAAAGGACCTCAGGGCCCTATTTTCTAGAAAATATTCTCACAGTTTTCTCTTTATTTCTAGCTTTCATACGTTCTTCTTAATTCAAGCTGTGCTTATACCGATTCAGTTTACTTATTGTCTGTACAATTACAATATCTCCCTTTTTTGTGCTGGAATATTGGTTGAAGATGCGCCAGCTAGCCGCTACCTCGCCTAGCATTCAGTATTTTGTAACGAACTCAACTGTAAGTTTTTTCAGCCTCCGTCGCCAGTTGAGGTCGTTTTACCGCAACCGCCTGTAGTCGCTGATTCTGAATCGGCAGAAGTAGACGTCACTGAAACGATCGTTCTGCCCAAGAAGACTGACAAACTGGATTTCACCAGGTTTGTCTACCATCTATTCATTTCATGACCTTTGTAGCTCTGTGCGAGTCAAGGGCATGGCGTATCCCAAATGGATTTGCCAACTCGCATCAGGCAAACTCTCCTTTCTGATTGATGCCTTTACTGTCATGTACATTTCGCTCGGTTTCAGAAGATGGCTTCACGACGATCTGTCGTCGTTGGCCTTCCAACCACCTGCGCCGATAATGTTCTTCCCCGAACCGGTAGGTCTTCGTGTAGGCAGTGATTTTTTGTCCCTCGTACGGGGCTTGTGACCGCGCGGATCTCTGTCTAGGAACTTTATTGGATTAAACAACGAAATCGATCCTCAGTCTCGAAATGTCTTTTTTCGGGAAGTCTTGAAAAATGTAGAATTAAATTCCCCCAATTGAAGGATATAGTTGCGAACATCAGGTAAAAATGTGAACAAAACTTTCGCCCCAGACGGGACTCGAACCCGCACATTTCGCTCACCGGGCAAGTGCGCTACCAGTTACGCTACCGGGGCACCATTTCATTCCAACTCAGCTTTTCATGGTATACGTACCATAGCTTTCGTACTCAAGCAAATATAATACAATAACATTTTGAACTCTATGTAGCCGAAAATTACTAGGAGATGTTTAGTAACCGTAAACATCGCTATGTTATCGCTTTCACTCCACCCACCTTCACGCAGGGTAGAAACTCGAGAATTTAATGGTGTTCAGAGTTGGATAGCCACTGATAATAACGATTTTTAGTGTTCGTATTACAACGACGCGGACGAGCACTCATTGGGCAGCTGCTCCGCCGAGGTGGCCGCGATTAATTCGCCCGGAAGAAAAGAGAAACCGAAACGAAGCAATGGGTACGAAATTTAACGTGATATATGTTTCGCGTGAACCAGGCAATTAATCCTACTATCGAATGAATCAGAAATCTCGACTGGGGAACGGGGTGATCACATTTGAGACTCCCAATCAGGGGCTCGATCCCAATCTAGGTGTCATCGACGATAAGTAAGCTTAGGAAGGGAAGGCGCGGTAAATCAGGTTCTCTCAATGAGACTCCCGGCCGGATTTCTTGTTACACCATTATTTATTCAAACCCGTCAGTAAGTGACGAAATTCAGACTTCTACAATTTCTTTAACGAATCCTCAGAAGTTTAAATATACAAACGAATGATGCAGTATGCTGGTACATTTACATACCCTCCGAATTACGCCATGCAATTTGAGTATTTTCTAAGGGTTGTGAAAGACTGAAGATCGCTAAAAGAGTTGGGTGCCCAGAAAGTTACTTGCGGAGGTTGGCCAACAAATAGCCTTAGGGCTCCCTACTTGAACAAATTTGACACTAACAAATTTATCACATGAGCAAGGGTAGGTTACCCTTGGTAGGATTCTCGATCTTCTAGCCCATTCACGTTTGACTAAGAATTCAGTCAAGTTACCTGTAACTCAGTAATAGCTCAACAACCCAGAAAAGCCTTTCATTAATCTGTCTGCTCTTTCTAGGGTTACGGTGTATAACTTTGTTCATTGATAAATAAATATGTAAAAATTGCTTATTATTTGACAATTATTGATAAGTTTAGTATCGCGGTCGTTGCCTCTCTGGAGAAACCGGCACCAATTCGTCCACAGCCATGTCGTCCTCAGCCCGTCTATGGCACGCAAGAAAGGGCCAATGGGTGAGTGACGTCATCGAGCTTGTAGTGGCTATTTTTTGCTTTTTTTGTAGTTGAATTCATTTAATTCCTTCAGTCGATGATTGAATTGAATGGTGATTACTTTCTTGCTGTCCATTATTTTCCAAGGCTAACTTTTTTCGAGCTAATTAGGGGCTTACAAAAGCCATTACCAATGTGGCTCACCTCAATTTGCTTCGATTTCTTCGATATGTAGGCTTCCCTCTTGCAAAACAGAGTTTGTAGGTAGGGGAAAGGGATAGAAGCAGGTGAAATTCTAGGACAGTACAGCCTTTCACAATCCGAGTATCGTTTTAGAACCTTTGAAAAATTCGATACCATTTATCTCGATAGCCCTTCAAACCTTATGGTTAGTGTTCAAATTGCAGCTGTACCGCGTTTCCCAAATACTTCTGTTTGAGAAGGATTTTTTGCTCAGTCATAGTAGTAGGACCCAAACATGCCCCTAACGACTTTACTAGAGCCCTTCACAATGACGATGAGTGATTTCAGGCCACGACATTTCCCTGTGGAACTCGAGGTGCCGAACATACCCCGTGTGGCTTCATATGATCATGTGCCTGAGCGACGTGAAAACCCGATTAATTCGTGGAGATCGGGATCACAGGTGCGGGTTGCTTCTGCAGTGAGTCTTAGCAGTAGATTAGCACAACTGCCAATTATCACCATTTTATTTGATTAAAATAAATATTCTTTGAAGGAGCCCTATCAGGCACAAGGAAGCGTGCCACCAGAGGACGTGATGAGGCCGTCACCGTCCGCCTTCCAAACCGTGTCCAACTTTTCCGGACGTGGCGGAAATATGAGAGATGTGAGTATGTCTAAGTTTGTTAGACATAACTCCCAGAAGGTTCAGCGTTACCGAGCTTTTGAATAACGCGTTTTTTGGCATTGGGTATACGTAGCACATGAACCATAGACCATGTTAATTTTCTTGCACGGCCCTCATAAATACCAGAGAAGCGGTCCATTGATGATCCTCGGTCCAAATTTTTCTGCATTCGCGTTCGTCGGGGGGAATGCGCGGAATAGGACGACCATGCATAATGCATCGTGTTGATGTCTCCATTGCCTGCAATTATGAGCGCCAACTCGAAATGGCACAAATTGTCACCATGAAGAATCGATCCAGGGAACCCTTTTCTGACATTTAGAGGGCCGTGTCAGGAACAATACAAGGTCTGTATCCTCATTCCTTACAACGCAAAATACCTTGAATAAAGAAACAAGCTTTGGCGCCTGAAGCTTCACGTAAAAATGGATGAATCATCGCATCATGGGGCGATGGGGGTCCAACGTTAGAAGCTTATACAGCCCTCAAAGTATTTGTAGTGACATGTCCGCTTCGGGATCGATCACTACATCATGAAATATTAGTTTGTAGGAAAGTTCTCGCGGTTTTTCGAAGCACGTTGAGCTCTGGTTGAGCAACTTTTTTGAATCGAAGCCAGAAAAGTTCTTTGCCGAAGGCATCAAAAGTCTGCCCGAAAAATGGCGAAGAGTGATAGAACGTGATGGTGATTACTTTGTTTCCTAATATGTTTTCTTGTTGATAAAAAATTAAGGTAATGATATGTGTCAAAAACCGCGAGAACTTTCCCTACAACCTATTATTTTCGACTGGACGGCATTTTATGGTGAAGATAAGGTGGCTGACCCATGTAGAGTTGATCCTACTTCGACTTAAATTTGTCCTGCACCATTTGTATTTCCTCACTCGGAAGCGCTGTGGTGGTATGTCCATACGTATACTGGCATATTTGGTTTATTTCCATGAAAAATGTATGACTCAACTTTGATCACTTTCCGATCGGCTAATCATCGGGTAGTCCCAACACAACGTCCCCCAGAAGATCCAGGTGCTATGATCAGTTGTGGCCCGAATGAGCTTCACCTGAACATGGGTTACGCTGTTTACGAAATAGCTCTTGAATCACCTGGAGTTTCCTGTTTTCCGTTTTTGAATTCTTTACACCTACCGGCCTCTTAAGCTTATTCTCTCTTCCGAAAAAGAAAAAAGATGGCAAGGCTTCACATAAATTCTCGGAAGAGGTTTTTACAACTACGATTTCGCAGGCGATATTTATTTCAAGCGTCCGCTTTCTCAAGTTTCTGTTGCAGCCCATGACAGTTGCTGATAAGCCGCGATGTCCTACATCGTACGCTCATGACAACACCTACGCCACTGGGAGTTTACTGTACGAGCAGCCGATGCGGAGACAGTCTGAAAGGAGAGCGCCAGCAGTTGAGAAGAAAGCTCAGCCGTAAGTCGACATCCACTTACCCTCCTTTCAAAAACGAGAAGAGCGTCGGGTGCAGACCATACACCACAAGTGACGACGGCCCCACAAAATGTAAATGTTTTCTGCCAATGAAATGATTAGCCTGTTGCAGTTGTATTCTATCAGTTGTCACTAATTACAACTATCATTTACCAAAAATCAGCTATCACTATGAACCACTACTAACCAGATTTACTTGGAGGCCGTCGTCACTTGTGGTGTATGGTCTGCACCCGACGCTCTTCTCGTTTTTCGAAACTTAGGTACCTTCCGAGCGGTGTATGTTGAGTGTCAGAATGGCTTCGTTGTAGGTATCAGCAACCACCGGTGGCACTATACCATGCGGCAGTGAGTAGCCATCAGCCGGTTCATCAGTCGCACTCCACTCCGATGGCCAGTCAGCATCGAGTGACGCACGCTGCCGCACAACATCCACCACAACAACCACAACCGGCAGTACAAGTCCAGCGAATGCCGCAAGCTCCACAGTACTCAACACATCCCATAGTGAAGAAGTCGCCACCGCAACGGCAGCAGAAATCACTGGACGAGGTCACCAACATGTTGAACAAAGTTGTCAACGATTTTCATGCGAATCAACAGCCTCCACGTAAGAAATCGCAACCTAGTGAGTTTTTCCGGAATATGGCTTTTATTCCTGTTCAGCTGACCTGAAAAAATCTAAAAGTACTCTCCAAAATAGTCAAAAGGATAGGTTTAGCCTCTGTGTGAGTGTGTGTTGACTAGTGGTAGTAGAAAAGGTAGCTAGAAAGTTACAGGTCACGCCATGTATGCCACACCTCATTCCATGAATCAATCGAATCCGTTCGAGACGATCAATCAGGAAAAGATCAATCCTAGTCGTGTAGAGGCTATGCACAATATGTTTGAAAGAAATGCAGGTGAGCGGTGGTGAGCTGTACGGGGACAGAAGACCTTACTTTGAGCTATTACAAAAAAGCTGAATTTTCACCTCACAAGGGAGGTCTTTCAGGGCAAGCCGCGCTTTTTCAAAACGGTTTCTTGCATATTGTAGGGACGCATGTATGGACCACAAAACCATGTTTCGTTTTCGCTGAACGGTTTTAGTAGTATCCAAAAAAGTGGTGAATGATACCCTTGATGGTTCGATCCCCCGCGGCGACTAAATTTTGCAATCAAGGTTGGCGGCCACTTGTTGGCTTCAAAATGGTTCGTTTATAGTTCGATGGTGTGCGGGTCTTATATATGTATTCCTTGATGCAATGTGGACTCGTCCGCGCTGTCATCCACTTCGTGCTTTTCAAACGGCTTAGCTAAAAAATTTGTGAGCCTATAAATTAGGATATATAAATGCGGGGCACATAAAAAAAGTTCGTTCTGTTATCCACATTAAACCATTTATCACACTCTGTCGGTGAGTTCGAACAAATGTCTCAGTTAAATGATAAGCGCACTTCATTCTATAAATAAAGTTTATTTGGCCTCAAGAGTGTGGGCGAATTCGGGAAATGAGCACTGAAACATGGTTAACTTGATCAGGCTGTCTCACATGGTGAGTCGTGGCGCGGGCCTCATGCCATTACGCATGTCTGTTTGGAAAGCGGGTTTCAACGGAGGTTGTCATATGGCCGCAGCTTTAATGCGTGGGAGGAAACGCTATTCAGAGAATCGATTTGAAGAAATTCTGTAGAGCTTTCGACGACGGCGGCTATAGCTGTATGATCTCGCTGAAGCTCGACACGATGGCATGATGAGCGTCGATATAGTTGAAGGACGATGATGGGATGAAAAAAAAAACGCTGGGATGCAACATAGGCAGAATGTCTTTTTTCTATTGCCCCCCCCCTGTATAAGGAAAGATTGTTGTACTGTTGCTCATTTATCGTTGTTTTCCACGACTGCCTTATGCGTCGTTTCAAATAAATAAACAAATGGTTTCGACTACGGGTATAATATCTGATTTTGGCTTTTAGCGCCATTTGGCACCAACCCATAAGGCGCCAACATGTGAAAAATTTAGTTGCTCACAGGTATCGAGTGGACACTATCTTCACAGCTTTATGTGATATATTAAAACGATTCGCCGTCGCGAGCAACGAAACATGGTTTTGTGGCGTCATACATGGCGTCCTACAGTATGCAGGAGATCGTTTTGAAAAGGCGCGGTTTGCACTGAAGGACCCCCTTTGTGAGAGCCGGTAATGGGCCATTCAAATTAACTCCATAATGGCGCCGTAATCTTCATTCATTGAGGAGTTACTGTCTTGAGTGCAAGACTTCATCTTTCTATGGAAGAAAAAGCGTAGAGGTAATGCATTGAAGGATAAGCTGCAAAGCCCTCAAGAAATCTGCGCCCTTTTAATCCTTAGTTGAATAAGTGAAATGTTCGCAAGAGTGAGTGCCGCAATATGGAGCGAAAACTTAAATGCAGAACATTGCAAAAAAGACTGTCAATTGTCAGATAGTCGTTCCTTAACAGATGTGGCGAACGGTTTCGGACTTCACCTTTGAGCTGCCACAGGAAAGTGTTAGGCCAATCAGAGACACCTCTTCCGATCTCATCTGTTTGCCCATATTTTTTTGCACGCTATCTCAATCTAGTGAAATATGGTCTCATCTAAACTATTTCTAAAGGCACAGGTATTCCTGCAAGAAAACGTTCCACGCTGAACGAATGGACAAGGCTTGTTGGGTCAGCCATTCTCATAATTAGCACCTTTTTTCTGAAATTAGAAGAAGGAGCCCAGAGGAGCGCCTACCAATAAAGCCGAGAGCAGGACCGACTCACTAAGGAAAGGAATGCCCTGTATCAACTGACTCCGCATATCGTTTAGCGTGTAGTGTGCTTTTTTAATGTCTTCGTTATTCGGCTAAATGTAATATCAAGGGTACCCCCCAGGAGGCCCGTCGCGCGGCAAGAAGGCAGAGTCGGCGGACGAGTTGCAGCGCGTGGTGTGCGATGTAGGACGTGCAATGGGACACTCTATTTAACTTGACGCGAAATCCCTAGTACGCGCGCGACTCGTCCGCTGACTTTGCCTTCTTGCCGCGCGACGGGCCTCCTGGAGGTACCCTAATATTAATGCGCAAAAGTACATGCCGCGGTCTGCGCACACCACATTTGGCGGCATGTAATCCTAGCCGTTTAAGCCGTCGAGTGTTCTGCTCTCGTCTGCGCCCTCTTGTCCAAATAACGGCCACCCGAAGTCCAAATGCAAGCGCGTTGTGTCACATCTTATGGTTAGACGAGACACTGCATACGAAAGCGAAAAATGTATTGTGCAAGATATGGGCAAAAGAGCTGCAAGTTTTTGCGCGCGTAAAAGGTTGTGCGCGCGGTAAGTGCGACGTGTTTCAATACATGCCTGACGAGTTTTGCTTCTTGACTTTTTCTTCTTCGGAGAAGAATAAATCATCTCAGAGATGAGAGAACATATAGCCAAAAAAATCTACTTGTATTGAACTGGAGTAAGGTAACTGTC